TTTGAGATATATTAATTACAATGCAGGATAAAAATGTCCTAGAAAATAACATTAAAATGGCAAGGAGGCGAGTCTCAAGATAATATTGAAAGCAATATTTATTTCCAATATAATATTACTTCTGAGTAAATGAGAAGATTTAAGCACATTGTTCCCCCTTTTGTGTGTTTTATTTATGTTTAAACAGATTCAAAGGTATTCACCAAAGAAATTCTGGGTTCATTTTTGACTATACTTTGTCAGCCCTTAAAAGTCAAATTGATAAAATAGATTTTTTTCTGTAATATATACAGTAAAACCACATAGACAGGTCCATTTAGACACATGGACTATCATAAAACATATAAATTATAACCCCAAGCTTTATTATCTTTTCATTTTTAAAAAGTGATTAATTGCGCTTATGTATTTTATTTTATTTTATTTTTTAAAAAAAACTATTACAAAATTCATTGTATACTAAATCTGTTAAGTAAGGGATTTGTCACCTAAAATCAGTCTGAACTTTGTCTTTATTTAAAGGCACATTCATTGTACTTTGGAGACTGAAATCAGTTTTGGTATAATTTGTTCTTTGAAACTATGTAACTGTATTCATTATTCCTTCCTGTCATGATAAAAGTCGCATTGGCTCCATTATTAAAAGTAGTGGTTTACAGACTGCGTAATATAACTTGGAATATAAAATGTCTACTTTATAAATAAATAAAAAGTATAATAAGAAAATGTAAGAAGTTACAATAGTTTCTGTTTTATCTGCAGGACCTGGCACACAACTGGCCTTAAATGAATGGAAACAGTCCTTTGATATACTATTCACACTTTTTTTTAACCGTGTGCCATTTTGATACCAGAAATACTTCTGTGTCATTGTGTTAATAACTGTATTTCTATATCCATTTATTTTTTAATACAGCCATTGGATTATGAGAATCGAAGGCTATATACTTTGAAAGTAGAGGCAGAAAATCTGTATGTTGACCCACGCTTTTATTACCTCGGACCTTTTAAAGATACAACCACCGTGAAAATATCTGTGGAAGATGTGGATGAGCCTCCTATATTTAGCAGATCTTCGTATCTTTTTGAAATACATGAAGATATTGAGGTGGGCACCATCATAGGCACAGTCATGGCACGAGATCCAGATTCTGCTGCAGGCCCAATAAGGTAATTGCCAGAATCCAAAACATTACAGTTTATAGGAAGATGAATTATTTGTATCAATAGTTAAGTTCATACTTTTGTTGTGAGTGACAAAATGTACAGAAAGTGGAGCATCATTTTCCTATCACCAGTTTAATTTGAGCCATGTGAGATAATCTTCTACAGGTAAATTGTAGCCTTACCCAAGTAAGTGTCTCCAAACAATACTGACAGTTCCCCATATTGCCAAACAATATGGATAATGAGGGATAATAAATAATTTTGTTCCATTTGAAGTTCTTAGATCTGTTGTCTCACGCTATCTGCAAAATATCAGTTTGAGAAAGGCTGATATATCGAGCATAAATTTAATGCCAAATAGTGTGACCATAAGTTAATTTTCCCTGCTTGCTTGCTTTTAATAGAGGTTCATTAATAGAACTGAAAAAAGGCATTAATAAATGGAGGAAAATTGCCAGAAATTCCCATTTGAAATATAACCTTTAATTTTAATGTGAAATTTGCCATTGTCTACCTGAAGTTTCATTGGTTTAATTGATTTTCATTGCAATTGGCCAATACCAAATACAAAAGTTCCCAAGTTGTTGGCAAATAATATCATTGTCTGAAATCTCATACTGAATATTATATTTTTATAGTAGTACCTGATGTTTAAATATAATCAATAATATAATGAATAATTAAATATAATTTTCCAGTCCTAAAATATGAAAAAGAAAAATAGCACAGCTCTAATATTAAGTCTAAATATAAAATCCTCAATGAATAGTTGCATAATAATTTTACATCAGCTCCATGTTTTGAATTTCTTCAAAGCCCGTTTGACATGAGATTATTTAACCCAACAGCTTTATTGCTATCTTACTTGACAATACAGTAAAACTTCATGGTCATTTCTGGAGAAAAGGTATCCATAAAACCAGAATGTCCAAATCTACATAATTGACCTAATTTATATCAAGTGTATAATTATAATCACATTAGTGGATTTTATCAATTGTCTGGAGAGAGGGTTTAGAATTAATGAACTTGTCCATTATTTTCAAGGGTGAAGTACGACAAATGTTTATGCAAACCCTTTAAATAGTGTTCCTTTAAATCAAAATTTCATAATCCAACAGCTGTGATTTACCATATTTTCAGAGTATAAGATACACCTTAGATATTGGAGAGGAAAATAGGGGGAAAAATTGTGCCTTCCAGGTATTCATCTGGGTCGCATCCTTAGTCTGGTTGGCTTCAGCACATAAATTTGCTAGTTTTGAGAGTGCATGCTTTTTATCCCCTGGACTATGTATTCAAAATGAGGCCACACTGATTAATAGCAATAGCAGTTAGACTTATATACCGCTTCATAGGGCTTTCAGCCCTCTCTAAGCGGTTTACAGAGTCAGCATATCGCCCCCACA